TATTTCTGATACGGTCCATTAATGTGCAACCCTTCACATACCTCAGGAATTGCATTTCATCTGCATTAATTCTCCTGTTTTCCTTAGATGTTTTTACCCAAGTTTTGCATGCATACAGGAGAGTAGATATACTATTGGTAAAGCTTGAGGTGTATTTCTTTTAATGCTTTTTGAATGTTCTCTTGATAGAACTGCAGATAGCCTGAAATTTAGATATTTTTTTGCTGCACAACGTCATTACTATTTATTTATGTTGCATCGTAAATATTCGAAGTTCGATTCGATAGTGATGTGGTTTATTACTATTTTTGTTCATATGGGATGTTTACCTCTGAAAGCTCGAGCCTTACTTTTGTTGATTGATATTTTACAATTGTATTCCATTGCCTTCTTTTGTAATTTAAATGTTCACGTCTGGAGGTCATCTACACAATCAGTGATCAAAACTACAACATTTGCAAACAAAAGTGTGTTGTTTTTAGTTTCCAATTGTAATTCCTTTATTGTCTAAATAATTCTTCCATTCTGAGAGAAGTCCATAATTATTATATATCAACACTCCAGTTAGTTAAAGCAGTTATTTTTGCCTCCTGCTATAATTCTGTTCACAAAATTCTAATCGCAGCAGCTGAAGTCGTGAAGTCAATTTAACAATGCAGTTGTCTCGTATACATTGCTAGAATTATTGCTTTATTGTTGTTGTTGTTTTTTAATTACCTCTGAAAGTCGGTGACGTATTTCTGATACTGCCTGTAACACAATGAATGAATGAATGATTGTTTTCTTTTCCTTTCATTCCTTTATTTTTCAATTGTCTGAGATTAGGTAAGCATTCTAAGAAAACACTTCTATTTATATCAAGAACATACACAACCACAATTCTCTTGACTTGAAATCATGTAGAAATTTGATGTAAATAGACGTATCCATCAGGTCCCAAGTAAGTAAATAAGTTATTGGTTTCAGTACATTTCATAGAGTGACAAAAAGCTTTTTGCAAATGTTAATTATCTTTTTATTATTATTATTATTATTATTATTATTATTATTATTATTATTATTATTATTATTATTATTTAACTTTTTAAAATGATTTAATCGTATCAGTTCTAAACCTCACACCAAAGGCTGCGGTAAAGAAATGTTTCATGGAGAAAACAAAAGTTCCAAAATGCGGAAATGCTTTTGAATGGAGGAAACCCATCAGATTAGTTCTATCTTTCGATTGTAAATCAATGATACATCTGATACCTCTGTTACTATGATTTTTTGTTGTTGTTCTTCCTCTGCTTTGAATAGGAACTTTTCTAAAAAAATGAAGCTAATTAAATTAATAAATATATTTTTGATAAATATATTTTATATTAATAATTATTTTATGTTAATTTTTTATTATTTATTTACTTTATATTAATATTTTATATTAATAAATATATTTTTGGTCATCATCATCTTATGATGAACAATAGGATAGTCGGTCTGGTGCCTGTTTCTGTTAAAAGACAGTAGTTCTGGTGATTATTCCTACAGATATTCCTGATCAATCCTTTTGTTGGGTCTTCCTATATTTTTTCACCCTATAGGTTTGTTAAAAAGGCTTTAGAAAATCTTTCCAGTTGCATTCTTTGCCCATGTGAAAGCCATCTCCTCTGGTTCCCTTTAATGTCATTCACTATACATTTAACTTTGAGTTTTTTTCTGATTTCAGTGTTACTTTGTCGATCTAAACATGTAATTCCTTATTTTGGTTGTGTTTATATATGTCCATGCGTTAATAATATTTTTAGTTGTGACAATTTTTCATAAGAGTTCATTGGAAAGAATATGTTCAAAAACATTCATTGCCTTACAAAAGAGTTAAGGATGAGATTGGATTTGTAATGAGTGCACAATATTTGCAATCTTGTAGAGTGAATGACAAGGCAATAAAAATTAAGGGACAACAGACATCCACAAAAATCAAGGGGCAGTACTTTCTTTCAAGGTAGATGGTTTCTGATGTGTGAAGAAATTGTCTCAAATGTATGAGATATAACAAGAGTACGGAAAAAGATGTAGTATGAAATGGCAAAATGTGTACATAACTATGTAAAAAAATTGATAAGAAAATGTAACAAATATGTTTGAAGGGATGTAATATCAAAAGACACTTTTATTTATAGATCATGTGCAAACAAACAAAATAAATGTACAAAAATTGAAATTACATTAATGAAATATTTATTTAAAAAAAAATAAAAATAAATATTTTTGTCCTAGTGGATTATTTTTTGTAATACATTTGTATCTTTGAGAGCAATGACAGCCCTCATTCAAATATGGGAACTCAGTGACTTGCAAACAATTACTGTTACATTGTCATCACAGTGCTACTCATACTGCAACAACCAATATTGCTCATGCATTAGGATTAAAGATCAAGAAACGAGATCACTGATACTTTCCACATCTGCAGATAATTTTCTCAATGCTCATGCACACTTGTCGCAACATATATGTTGTGTAGACAGAGATTAAACCAAACAGAACACATGCGTCTGACCACTTTTTCATGTGGGCCACCTCGTGTTGTCAGCATTCAATTCTGAATGTGTGTAAAAAAAAACAACTAAAAAACACCAATTTTATAAATAAAAGCTAGTTTTGAAAACTCAAAAAAACATTTTTTCCAAAATAAATTTCAAGAAAATTGATAGAATAAAAAAAGTGTCGCAAAACAAAATATAAGCAAAATATGTAATATAATGAAATAAATCTATTCTTTGCTTGTTATTTATATTGAAATCTGTCTTTATGCTCAGAATTGCTTCATGCCAATACTAATATTTATATTTGTTCTTTATAAATTTCAAATTGCACTGCTCTGCTCATGTCTTTGTTTCATAATTTATAATTTCAATAACATTCCCTGTAATATTTTTATTATTTGTGGACATTGACTTATGACAAACTATCTGATCGTATCTGGACGGGCCATCCATACAGATCATCGATTTCTAGAAGTTTTGTTAGCTAAGAAATTCCTTGATTGACTGCTACTAAAAATGAATTTTCAGCCTTGTTTCAAACAACAAATATAATAGTGTACTCAAAATATGGAAATATGAAATAATAACAAATATAATAGTATTTATTTCGATTGAAAATCATTAACATGGTTTAATGAGATCATTTATGTTAACTACTGATTCTATTCTGAACCTTCTTCAGACAAAATCAGTTTAAATGATCTTTGTGTCTTCACATGCATTCAATACCCTCTCAGATGAATTTCAGATGAAGAAAATGTCCAGTGTCCATGAGGTCTTCTCTCTTTGGTCGCTGTGATGATGTTCCCCCTTTTCACCCTGTTAACACGATATTAAACAATGTCTGTTTCTAATGACAAAAACAATCCGTGCATTTGTTGAATTATTATCAGTTAGTAGGATAGCTTCCTTAAAACAATGCTTGTCTTCAACACTTACCTGGCTTCACTTCTGGCGGGCGCCTTGCTGCATCACTCCTTATATTAAACAAAGAAATGTTTGTTAAATGAGAAAGTCACTACTTATTTTTTATTGAATTAAGGTCTCCCAATAGTGTTCATTTCTGTTCAGTCCACAAATGATGTGCTGTTAATATTATATAAATTATTCTCGAGTTTGTGTGATGGTAATTGATTGTTAACATTTTGCTACCCCACTCCTCTCTACATTCAGCGTTATTTCAATAAATGATGTCTTCACTGATCTATCATGACATTGGCCACCACGCGACCCATCTAATGAAAATCTGCCACATACCAGATCCAATGTGTATAGCATCATGATCAGTGGTTGAAAGACCAATCTCATTCCTTTATACATTATCATGCCTCCTACACATATATTATTTTCATTACAAGGGGCTTTGACCCTCTCTCCTGCAGTGTTATTCTACTGCTATCATTCATTTTTCCTGGGCTTGTTTATTTACAATGGCTACTATGGCAACTTGTCTGTTCTAGTTTCATTTGCTCCTTAGACCTTAACTAAAACACATTAATCTAATAAGTATTATTATACTGTTGTATTAATACAATTTGGGGATCCTTTGGCTTATCACATACAAAATATGTAAAAATATGTAACAAAAAATTTTGATATTATGTTAGGATTGGCCTTATTCACCAAAATCACTGTTTTAAAAGCTGAATGTAGTGAAACAATAAATATTAATTACATTAGAATCCACTCTCTTGTTACAAGGTAAACCAAACTCAAGTGATTTCTTTTAGGGAGAGTTTGAATTATAAAGAAAATCATGAATTGATTACTCCCACTACATCTGCAGTTGAATGCATCCAATGATTCTTTAATAAGCTCTAAACCACAAAAGATTTACAGACATATAGGCTGGTTCTCCTTATACA